TGCGTGACCTGCCCGAGTCCTCTCGGAAGCAGCTTCAGCCGGAGCTGTTGGGACGACTCCCAACTCTGGACCTGCCAAAGTTCTCCGGGGTCCTTTCCGAATGGCTGACCTTCGTTGGTCTTTTCGACAGCCTAGTGGACGCCCGGAGTGACTTGACCCCGAGCCAAAAGATGGCGTGCCTCCTGGCCTCACTGGAGGGGGAGGCCCTGGGCGTCGTCGGCCATTTGAGATTGTCGGACGGCGCCTACCAGACTGCTCGGGATCTCCTAGCCAGAAGATACGCCAACGTCCGGCGAATTGCGGCCGAACATGTTAAGCAGCTTCTAAGCCTCCCGCTGCTTAGTGACCAGGCTAGACTACGTCCAGACCTGTTGGATCCAGTCCTGGTGGCCTGTAATACGTTGAGGCGGCTGGATTTACCAGTGGGCGAATGGGCTTTTTTGTTGCTCCACCTCGTGCTGTCCCGTCTACCTCTCGACCTTCGAATCCATTTTGAGGAGAGGTACGGCGGGGACGAGGCCTCCTATATTCCGCCCTTCTATGACCTGCTGCGGTTTTTGGAGGAGCAGTGCCGGCAGATCGAGAACGCGGCGGGAACCGTTGACGACTTACGAGACGTGCCCAGTGAGAGGCTGAATCCGCCAGGCAAGTCGTCGTCAACCCCACCCTGCTCCTATTGTCGAGCATCTGATCACCGGGTAACGTCATGCCCGAAATTATTAGATAAGCCGATTCCGGCGAAGCGAACTATCGCCAAGGAGCGCCGCTGGTGCTGCTCATGTTTGGGAGGGCACCTACAGCGAGACTGTCCGCATCGGCGGCCCTGTCTGCATTGCCAGGGCAATCATCATGCGGTTTTGTGCCTGAGTGCGAACGGCGTCTCCTCTCGAGGCTCTGCCAGGCCCTCGACCCCCACGGGCGGGGGCGCTTAGCCACGCCGTCTGCCCGGCGACTCTCGGCGCCCGCCGGCCAGCCACCAGGCCCCTAAGTTTGAAAGGGGTCTCTCCCCCGACCAGTCGGGTGGTAATTCCCCCAGGGGCGGGGGTGTCATCAACCCCCCTCAGCGTGTGGAGAGGAACTTCACGGCCACTCATCGGTCCGCTGGACCCTTCTCACTCCCGTTAGCTGAGTGGCCGCGACTGGTGTATCACTGTTCCCCATTTGATGGAGGCCGCCCTGGCTAGCTGCCGCCTTAGCTCCCACCACGGCCGCCTCCACTGAGCCTTAAGCTGTCAACAGTCCACTTGTCAAAATGTTCTGTTGCCGACGGCCTCAGTGAAGGCGTACAACCCGAGTGGCGACTGTTGGCGGTTCCCGCTCTATTGGTCTCGGGTTCACGCCGTGTGTCCTCCCCTTGGTGGTGGGAAGATTAGGGCCCCCCTGGAGCGTTGAATCACGCTGTCAAGGGGTATTAGATTTGGTTTGGTCGAGCACTTAGTTAAAAATTCTTTGAATTAAAATTAAAAAATGCTTTGGGCTTTCCGCGAAATTTTCCTATTTGTAGCGGTTGTGATTACAAGAATTGAATTTAATCTACTCTTTTAAATGCTGCTGCATATGTTTTGTAAATATATTTAATCACGGTATTTGATTGTTGCGTCTGTTTGCTGAAAGGAAAGTTTGAATTCATTTGAAATTGAATGTCGCGCTGTTTGGAAAATTATGTATACGTTTTGTGTTTAATCATGTTGCTTTGTGAAAAAGAAGGCTGAAATTAGATAACCCTATTTGTGCCGAGGTAAATAAAAGTCAATTCTCCTTTGGTTTACATTTTGTTGGCACTGTCTAAGTTATTTAAATGAGAAATAGGGCTGTCTCTTGCGTTTATTGTTTTGTTTAATTTGCCAAGTTGACCTATGTGCATCGGTGATTAATTTGGGTGAATTAATTCTGTAGTTGAACATTGATGCTTTTGAAAAATTTGTTGAAATATGAGCATAGGACTACTTGCCTAACAGGCTGGCTAGTTGTAGATTATCAGATGGAAATAAGCTGTCGCACCATTTGGTAAATGATTATATGGTGGATGGCCTGGCTATACCTACTTGTTTGAAAATTCATACTAGGTACTATCTGTGCATTTCGTTCGGCTCTCCACAGACGACGCTCTTGTGGAATTTGTGGGTGCGCTCATGGGCCCCGGAGGATTTGACCCTTTAAGGGAGCAGCCGTAGACCGTAACAATAACATTTGTAAATATCAAACAATGAAGAACCTTAATTTGGAAAAGAATAAGCTTTATGATTCATTGATATTTACAAATGTTAAATATTATTTAATGTTATACAAATGTAAAACTAAAGTCGATCTGAAAACGTTTAATTAGTAAGAATAGCAAAACAAGTGTTTTCAAAAGGAAAAAAACGCCGGCGCTACACGGCGGCGGATGGACAAAAGACTATTTATCAGCGAACTTTTTTTTTATGCATGAACGGTTTAAACTGTTTCAAGCAAAAATAAACCTTATACCATATCACAAGAGCACATGGTACTTTGTGGGTCTATTCGGCCATATGATAGTAATAAGACGGCAGTTCAACCATTTTAAGCAAAATTAAACAATAAGACAAACGCATTGTTTTCTTTTAACAGGAGACTTGTTTTCCAGAAATTTATTTACAACTTGAGTTTGTGAGCGATCGCAATGAGTGCTATTATTTGTTACTTATTAGACTATTTTTCCACAACGTGATTGTGGATGTACACGTTAAAAAAGGTTGTCAACCCCTAAAAATTTAAAATTTTCAAAATATCCAGAAACTAAGCTGCAGGCATGAACTACTTGCAAAATAATGAATATTTTGTTCTGGATAAATCTTCCAAAATAGCAATTTGAGCAAATTATAACGATTTTTAAAAAAGACACGACTCGCGTGTCATACGCCACACACAAAAGTTTAGAGCCAACATTTAAAGTTACTTACCTAATTCGTGTGGTAATTTTTTTTACTTCAGTTACTTAAAAACGCCAAAATTTAAAGTTACCTAATTCGTGTAGTAATTTTTTTTTTTAGTTCAGTTACTTAAAACTAGGCAATGTATTAATTTTGAAATTGTAAATTTTAAGGTGAAAGGTCCAGAGTGGCCCGCGAAATTCAAATTTTCTTACTTATAATTTTTTTTTAGTTCAGTTACTTAAAAACGCCAAAATTTAAAGTTACTTACCTAATTCGTGTAGTAATTTTTTTTTTAGTTCAGTTACTTAAAACTAGGCAAAGTATTAATTTTGAAATTGTAAATTTTAAGGTGCACTTTGCACTTTGCAGGTCAGGGTCAGGTTGAATTTTTAACAAAATATGATTCGCGACTGTAAAGAGTATGTGTTTACAGAATTATTATCATTAAAATCACCAATTAAAACAAACAACCCTCCAAGTTCATATAATTCCTTTGAATGAGTTTTTCTGGAAATAGCCATACAATAAGATTATACGAACTTAGGGGGTTGTATTGATGATTATAATGATTATAATTCTGTAAATACATACTCGTCACAGTCGCGTATCATATTTTATTAAACATACAACCTGACACTATACATAATAAAAAGAAAATAAAAAAATTGTAGCAACAGGAGTTAAAAGACCGTCACAGAGTATAGATTTTCTCTTTTTTTTTATGTTTTTCTGTTCACTATTGACTTGACCTACCACCTGATTCCGGGTTGACGTCGGTTTCTGAGGCAGCCTACATGTATACTTCCTGTATAGGACAGTTATTATACTCTTTGATGTATACAGACACTTCAATTTTCCTTATAAACCCACCCCATTTATTTTGGAACTCACCTATCATACGACGTATCTCCGTGGCATATTAGAAAGATTTTTTCTGATATCTTAGTTGTTTTTTTTTTCCTTTAAAATCTTTACCCCTACACTAGGGATTTCTTCTGTATCGTGGAGGCAGTTTACAAACATAAATTGCACAACGAAAAACGTCCAGACTCGGTACAAATATTTGTTCCGTAAGGGATTCGAATCCGTGGCCTCAGCACCGCAACTCAATGCCAAGACACTGCGCCATAGAGCCGTCTATCGTACGTCCGTCCATGGAGTTTCTGGCCTAAGATGACGTCATTTCATAATAAATTGGCGTGACCTCAACGTGGGAGACATATTTCTTTTTTCATCAGATTGAATAAGTCTACAGTTGGATACGTATCTCGCTGCAAGTATAAAGATTTGTCTCAATCGTTACGCTAGAAGGCTGATTGACGATGGCAATACCAACCGTTTTTTGCTTTTGTTGCGCACGTGCAAACTTTGCCACTTCTCTTCGCAGGCTTGGGTATTTTACGCCTATCGTAAATGTGATGGTTACATCTCTTTCTATGGGCAGGCATAATATTTTTCTTGCCTTTCACATACATAACGTACAATGATCCGGATTTCTAATTGCCTTTATAAACTGATTGAAAGAAATATTAATTATTGATTTTGGGCATGAGAACATCAGTAGTCTACAAGCCTTAAATTGAGCTACAAAAAAAACTTATGAATACAGAATGAATAAGAAGCTAAATATAATTAGTACAAAGAGATTTCTTTCAACAACTACATTTTTTATTAATTAAACAGCTTGCCGCAAAACATTATCCTAAATAGCAAAATTTATATAACACAAATGTTTCTGATATGTGTAAAAATAATGTAGGTACTTCATGAAATAAATTGCGCAACCATGAAATAAAATTTCAATCAATTAAAAATTATAAATTATTAGCTTATGAGACCTAAGACTTTTATTTTCATTGCAATAGTTAAATATTAAAAAAAAGATATAAATACATAACATACGAAAACATAATCTAACTCAGCAATGCAAGACATTGGTAACATCTTTAATGTTAATAATATCCCAAGATATATTTTTGTTACCTATTTATTTAAACTAACACACTAACATTAAAGCATTAAAGACTCCGAGAACTTCATTACATTTTGTATTGTGTCACAAAGGAATAATTATTAATTAATTGTGTACACAGCTATCTTGGTTTATCGTGGCATTGGTGGCATGTTTGGCATGGGCCCTGATAAAGTAGTGTTAGTCCCCAGTAACACCTGCAACACAATAAGATAATCATTAATTGACATTGTTTATCATTTTTATTTGCTTATTGAAAAAATACTCCAGAAAGCAGCAACAAATTGACCAAGTTTTTTTTTTGCTGTCGTGTCGTTATTGGGTGGACAGGCCTTAACATGGCGCTAATAAAAAATAGCAGCTAATATCCAAGAAATAATTTGAAATAACATATTACTATTACTAACTATTTATTTAAAACTTAAAAGATTTTTGATATTGATATGGTCACTATAAGATTTGGTTAGGTTAGCTAATTGCGTAATAATTTAAGACAGAAGGACCCTTAAGTAGGGACTGAATAAATTAACCGACTTGGTATTACATGGATCTCACAAATTTTTACGGTAGAAGAACTGAGTTGCGAGACTTGGCTTTTTAAGTTATGTTTTGGATGGCATTATCATTTTCACCACCTATTGGTTCTTAAAAAAGCAATGAATGGGAGAGTTGGCAAAAGTCACCCCGTGATGAATATGTATCGACCGATTTGGCGATATATTGAAAATGGGCCAAATTAAAAGTACCCTTAAACCAACAAGCATGCATGTGTAGAATAGATTGTGCCAAAGTAAGTCCATAGCCTCTGCCTATCCCTGTGACTAACAGGCGTGTTTATGTATGTATGCATAAACTACGTCATATCTTAAATAAATATAAAAATGATATAAAATAATTGACATTATTGTAATATTTTATTTTGGAACCATGTACTATGAAATAATACTAAAAATATGTTATAATGATTGATTAGTTTCCAAAATCAACATACTTTATCTTCGGATTGAGGAGCCATAATCAAAGCATTGCAGTTATGTCAAATCAAATCCAGCAATACAAAATCCATTATTTTTACAGAATACTTAATTTTCAAAAATATATTTTCAACTATTTGGCCAGTTCTAAGTAGCTCCTCAATTCAAACATTTGTATTAAGGCTGTCTTTAACTTACTGTAATTTTTGAAGACTTTCACAAGTTCCATGATTGGTTTTAGAAATTCAGTTAATTTACTATTAGAGGTAGTACATATCCACAAATAAATATCAACAATTGTACGCCATAATTACAACAATTTTTTTTAAATTACTAATACAATACAATAATTACAGCAGTATTCAAAAGTAGCAATGTAAGCATTTTTAGATTCAATGTTATCAATCTACAATCATGTCTATATAACAATTGAAGGAGCCTGGTTTTCTACTTTCCATTATTTTCAGTAATATTACTAAAGTTAGAGTTTTAGCTGTATATTTACAGGACTTCATATATAGTCAATGTACATAAAAATAGAATGCAATTCTTTAAGTATTTTGTCAGCCCATGAAGAGCTGGGATAAGTTTGTAATACTTCATCTATTATACTATAATCTATTAAATCTTGGTTACCCTGTTTTAACCCCATAGCGACAAGAACACAGTGTACACTCTGCATATCACTTATGTAATCAATATATTGCATTACCTGTTTTTGTTGTGACTTTTGCATTTCTTCAACTTGTGCTCTTTCCACTTCAAATATGACAGGCGCAAAAAGAATCACAGATGAACTAGCCAATACCCACATAACTGAGCGGGACAGTCCATAAAGAGATTTTACCCCAGACCTGTAGAAAAAGAAGAAAATATGTTAAACACTGAGCAGTCAAAAAAATTAGCTGTCAAAATAAATTCACCCACAATGTCAAATTACCGTTATTGCTGCGCTCTTTTTAATTAACTTACTGTGTCGCCGGTTACTTAACCTGTTCATATTTATGAAAGGCATTTTGAGGGACAAAGCCAGATAACGAATAATTATGAATATGTAATTCGGTGACCAATTTGAAGATATTGTTAGTCGAAAATCGTCATTAAATTGCACCACCAGAGACCAGGGCTAACAAATCCCGCAAAGGGAGCGTTAGCTTGACATGGAAATCTGTCATCTTGGCAGATATTCCCTTTAAGGGGCTACTCCATGCGAACGACCTTGAGCATTTGGTGTGCCGCGCCGACTCGCTACAATATAATATCACGTAAGAAATATGTAAGGCGCCACCTACTGTAAGAACGTAGTATTTTTTCAACATCAATAAACTATTTTATGGAAATACACACAGCGTACAACGATAAATGTATCTCAAATTTTTTATTCGGTATATTAGTTGCATTATATTAGAATTATGTATTCTCATATATTATCTAATTATGAAAATTTATAATTAATTTTATATTAAAAATGAAGCATTGAAAATTGTGAGTTTAAAAGATACCTACTCACTATAGGTAAATAGATAGATAGCTCGCCTTTTGTACAAATATTTGGTGCAATAAAGAATAAATAAATAAATAGGATGTTTCGCAGAGTGAGAGTAATATAAAATGAGAGTCGTGGAGGCAGTTTACAAACATAAATTGCACAAGGACAAACATCCAGATCCGGAACAATTATTTGTAGGCCATACAAATACTTGTTCCGTGCGGGATTCGAACCCGCGGCCCCCAGTGCAGCAACTGATTGCTAAGCCAGTGCGCCACGGAGCCGTCGCCGGTTTATAGCTAAAGTGAACATACGTCCCGTTTTGAACGGAACGTCCCATTGTCCCCAAACAAAGCTCCGGGACACAAAATTGTCCCGTAACTCGTTGGATGGAAGTATTCAAAGTCAACAATCTTCAACATAATTTTTTTTAATCAAATATATTTTATGTCTCCCTGGTACAAATGCTCCAGTAGAAAGAATATTTTTTTTATTTTGAACACATTGTGGACGTCAGAAAGAAACACTTACGGTTCCAGTTCTAAAGGCGATGTTGTTAACAAAGGTAACAATAAAAAAACTTAAGCAGAATTTTATTCTTATTTAAAATTATCACCAACTTTATTAAAGCAAATTTAATCCACTGACAAATGTAATTAATAATTAAAAAAAATATGTTGCATTTAATAATTACCGTCTATACCGAATATAATTTTATATTGAACACTAATTGTGTAAAGTTATAGTTTTTAGAGTGTAAATAAACCCATGTCCTATTTTGAGTTAAAAAATAAATGGTCACTTTAGTTTTTTTTAGTTAAATTTAGTTTAAAAAAAATTTAGTTTATAGTAAAAAGTAGGTATATTAATACCTACTTAGATACTTTTTACCGAATTAGGGTAGAAGCCCCTAATACCAGTCATGCCCCTAATTGCAGTCTTTTCGCCTTTTTACTCCATAAATAAGATTTCTAGTAGTCTTAACTACAAATATTTTCATCTGAAAAATTCTTTGTACCTAGAGGAAACTATATTTATTCAAATATTACCTCGCAGTTTTAAACCTAACAGTGTTAAAATCAAAACAGGTACGCAACGAAAAACGATCATTTTCCTAATTATTTGACAAGTTATGATCTCGGTAAAATTATGCTTACTTTACATTATCTCATATATAGGCTTTTTGATTTGTATGAATATGACTATAGACATAGTAATGCAGTTATTTTTGTTTGAATTTACAACTTATTTATTTTCTTTTAGTGGAAATTAATGGGACTGTAATTAGATAATATAAGAAATGTATGGAGTGCATAATGTCAGCCGCCCGGCTGTTATTTGGTTTGACGTACCTAATAAGATGTACCTAATTTCAGCCACGTAATATAAATCAGAGCTGCCATAAACTGGAATAAATACCATTAATTAGATCATAACTTATTTTATAGCTAAGGGAGTTATGATCAATTCGTCTGTTTTAAAATTGGTTTTAGATTTTAAAGTTTAGCAAAAGATGTACTAGCTTTTCTCTCTGACATTCGGCGTATAGAACATCTTATGTACTCAATTTTTTTTTGAAAAAGAAGAAAAAACAAGCAATAAATAAAAACAAAAACGGGCCAAAAACTCATAACTGAGTTTTTGACAAGACCCGGGATTCGAACCAGAGACCTCATGATCAGCACTCGCACTACTACAACCACTAGACCAACGAGGCGGTACTATACCTAATAAGATATTGTGGTTGGGTGATAATATTGAATTAGCCTTTTATAGTGTAAATTATAATATTTGTCGAAATTTTAATTATGGATTCGAACCTTACATGCTAATGGTGCTTCATTTTTTTATTTGCATTTACTTCAAAGAAAATACACGCAAAAAGCTTCATCGCGCAGTAAAAAACACAACAAATATATGTACCTAATACGAAAAATTATACCCAAAACAAACAAATAATACTACCTATAAATAACCTAATAAGTAATATTATTATCGACTAATATGACGTGAGTGTATGTGCTGGTCGACGCTCTAACGACACGGGTTTCGCGTCGAAGAGCTCAGGGCTCACTGACTTCAGCAAGCCCGTGAGCAGTGAATATGCCCTGATTTTAAAATAAATTCTTAATAAAATCAAATTTTGGTCTTTTGAAAAAAAATTTACTATAGAAATGTTCATTAATAAATTGCCTATCCATTGGTGTAAATCGCAAAATAAAATAATACTTACTTTACGAGGAGATGCATGTTATCAATAATAATTTCACATTTATGTGGTTTCGTTGTAAGGAGATTATATTAATATTTATTCCTTTAAAAAAAAATTGGATATAGCTTTTATGGAATCAAGATTATGTAGAAATATAATGTGTTTTTTATTTGTTGATATATCTTTTAAATAAAAAGTAGATAGCTCCTAAAAACAGCACAAATAACGACTAGCGCGACATTTTGCTCAACCTGCGCCTTAAGGGAATTTGAAAAAAAAGGTAAACCATATTTTTTTTATAGGATAGGGTGACAAACGAGCACACAGTCCACCTGATGGTAAGTGGTTGCTGTGGCCCATAGACATCTACATTTATCCTCGTTTGCGAATCAAAATGAAGATGCGTTGTCACCCATGAGGATTAAGATAGAATGCCTCCTTTCCAGTAAAAAGGTTCTCAGGTTCTCTACACTCACCATACAAAACACAGCAGCATTAAGCTGCTATTTGATGCTGGTATTCTGTGAGAGCGTGGTCCTTCCCTGGTCGAGCCATCATGCTACAACTATACTACTAATATAGCTGCAGCATGGCTCTACCACGTAAAACAAAATAAAAAAGGTAAACCATAAAATGTAATACATCTAAATTATACATGTGTCCAATTAACAATGTATAAAGAGCCCGTAAAATTACAGACTGTGTGGCATTTTATCTTAGCCCTCTAGGTAGCTTTCTTTGTTTAATTATGGTTGCAGTTGTCTATGGGCTAAAGTAGTCGGTTACCATTAACAAATTCATTGTGACACCAATTTTTGACAACTTTTAGCTGTGGCGGCGAACAATTATTAGGTGACACGCCTGTCGTGTCGAGCGCCATAGAAGTTGATGACATTGTGCCATAAGTAAAAATAATGTTCTTTTTTATACTTTTTTACATTTTACATAAAAATGTAATAAAATTGAAGTTATGTTATAACAATTATTTAGGAGTATTTTTTGTGCTTTTTATTAGTGATGCAATGCATACGAATACGAATATTCGTATTCGCCGAATAGTAGACATTTACCGAATGTATGAATCGTATTCGACGAATACTGATCACGAATATTTAAAAACTAATATTTTTGTACGCAACTCTAATTACTGGCGCACTTGGATAACGCGCGTCGTCGGCGCGTAAAAAATACGTGGGTTTTGGCCCTTAACCTCAACGACGGGAGACTACCAAAAATATTTTTCATTGAACCTATGTACAGTCGCTGAGGAAAGACTTTTTCAACGGCTGGGAACATCCAAACTGAAAAAAGAAATAGCCTAAGACCAGAAAATCTACAAATTTTGTTTTTTAAATAAAAATTTGCCGTTTGTAAATTTTAATTATTAGAACAATAGAAAATCACCAAATAAATTAGTTTTTTATAACCATGGCGAGATATTCGTATTCATATTCGCCGAATAGTAGGTTTGATATTCATATTCGTATTCATAAAATTAGTATTTGTTGCATCACTACTTTTTATTATTGTTTTAATATTTATTGCACCCTGGGATGCTTTTTATTTTCGCATGTTATTTATATGGGATTTTATTTCCCTAATGTTAATTAATTTTTCAACACTTCTTTGTTCTTTTGTAAATAAACAATATTTTAAAAATATCTGCTTTGCTCATCCCACTTAACTGGTTGGAATTGACAGCTATGATGCCACAATATGACGTCCAGGTCAGTCCTATTCTTATTTGATTTGTATGATACCTAATGTAATTAAATCAATCAATTTAAATATATACATACTACATGTATGTACATAAAACAATCATATTTTTTTTGTTAACTTAAATTAATGTAATTACGATTATATAATGACCTTAACTCTTTTAATTTCGATTTCAATACTAAATGTTAATATATATGAGTATTAAAATGTAATAATACAGCTGATACATCAGATGTTCTTTAAAAATTCATTAAATATGGCTTAAATTTGATGTGCTAAATGTGTTATGCATTTTCATTGGCAATAAATAAATATAACATAATTAATACAATAGTGAAGCAATCTTTATCATATTTACCAAGTTTTAGTTGTAAGTGTGTAAGTGCCACTGCGCACACAGTCGGGGAACATTTCCGTAAGTCCCCATAACCTTTCTGAAAGGCTTTCATCAGGTTCCTAGAAAATTTATTTAAGTATAAATTACACATAACAACTTAAAGCATATTGAACAGGATAGCATACACATGAAATTAGTAAACTATTATCCATCATCATTTTTACAGCCGATCACAAATCCAGTGCTTAACATAGGTTATCTCCCAAATATTGTCACAAAATAAGTTCAAGAGCCACCAGTTGATGGATTGATTAACTATCTGCTGATTTCATCAGGTTGTCACTCCATCCAATGGAGGGATCATCCAATACTCTGCTTAACAGCATGAGGTTATCATTCAATCTTTCTTTCCCAATGGCTGTAAGTTCTTCTAATTCACACGGCTATGTCAGAGACTTGTATTTTTGCGTTACGAATGTTATTACGCAGAGAAATTGTAAGCCTCTCCATCACTCACTGAGTGACTTAGCTTTCTATAATTTAGAGATAAATTTATAATGCAAATAAAGTAGTAGGTAAAATCAAAGGTCTGTAATTACATCGTCATATTCCTTAAGAGGCCCTGCAGTAGGAGACATTACGGTAGGAGATTCTGCAGGAGATACTGCGGATGGCGATATTCCGACCTGAAAAATATGTAAATTTTTAAGACAAAGTTCAGAATTTTCAATGATTATTCGTAAATATTAGCACTTATTTCATACCTTAGGGATATTGAATGTATTTTCGGGTCTACGTTCAGGAGTATCATCTTTACTCGCTATCAAAGATTCCATACCGCTATCGTTCTGATCGGGTTCATATGTTAAATCCATAAACATGTTACGGAATTTGATCTCAAATTGCAAAAACTCGTAAGAGGGACTCTAGAAATGCTACCTATATCGGATAAAATTTTCGGAAAATCGGAAGTTATGTTGGGATAAGGACCAATCCTTCTGAACTTCACAAAAATCTTTAAATCTCACGTTTACTTTGTTCGACAGACAATAAAAAAGAAAAAAAACACAATGAACCATAGAGCAAAGTTTTCGTAATCGTAGCTTTTCGACAATTAAAGCAGGAAAAGTTCTTACACGATACAACATATCCTACGTGTATTGTGCACAAAAAACTCTTTACAACGTATGTGTTTTTCTCGGAATTACAGTCGATGCAAAGCTTCAATCGGGCTCTCATATATCTAAACTAGCTAGCTAACTTAGTTCTGCAGCATGTGCTGTAAAAAAAATTTAGATGTGTTGAAACAGCTACATGAGCTTATTTTAATTATTTCCATATAATAATGTCATATAGAACCTTGTTATGGGGTAATGCAACTGTCGTTGAAACTTTAGCTTTGTTCTTTTGTAAAAAGAGTGCCATAAGAGCAATTTATAACTTAGGTTCATAGGAATCCTTTAGAGAAAAATAAAAAAAATATTTATTAAGACAATAAACTACCTAATTCATTTTTATTTTTTAGTTAAGAAAGAAAGGAATGCTTCGGTGGTTTGGTCATGTAGAAAGAATGAATGAGGAAAGAGTGACAAAGCAAATTTATGTTGCAGAGGTGAACGCCAGAGTCGGGAAGGGACACCCTAGGCGAAAGTTTATTGACCAAATTAGCAATATATTGAAAATGGGCCAAATCAAGAGTACCTTTAACGGACGAGCGAGTATGCGTAGGTATATGGATGTGGAGGAAGCGAGAGAGGTGTGTCAGGATCGTGCTAAATGGTAGTCCATGGTCTCTGCCTACCCCTCTGGGTGACAGGCGTGAGTGTTTATGTTTTTTTTGTATTTTTTAGTTATCGCTTGACATGTTTCTAACTTTGTTTCTTTCATTTAATACGTCAGTGTTGGTTTATGATAGCCATCTTAGATCCGCCACTTTGGATTTTTTATCGCCAGCAGATGACCCTTATCGGTCCTTACAATATTTGTTCGAGCATCAACAAACTATCCATAACCTTTGCTGAATTATAACTCCTTAAAATTGATATGACGGCCATTTTATTTTCTAACATACTGAATTTTTTTTCACCACGATATTATAAAAGTCGATATTAGTAAAGACACGACCCCGCTAAGTAAATTGTTTGCATATTTTCATCTCTTTTTTAATTCTTCTACTTTTAGGAATATTTATATTTTGGTTTATCCATTACAATCCCATTATAATTTAAAATACAAAATTACACCTGCAATGAGTTTGTGTTAAATTTGTTGAAACGCATGCGGCGTACTTCAATAGTGGCGTGTGCCACTTGCCGAGTTCGAGAGGACTCTGCCGACACCAAGCCATTTGGTGGGGATGATGGGTACGAGGAGCTGCTAGGTGGTCTTGCAGCCCCTCGCACTCGGTTGGGTTGTCCAACGCCAGCTTCAGACGCGCGCAACCGCCAGTCACCGGCTTTTTGCGAGTTTTTTTACTGTCCATCATCCATTAAACGGGCGTTAATTAACGGCCCAGACCCGGCAGCGTTCTACGGTGCGGCCGCAGGCACGGACAGACCTTTGCATCCTCAATTCTGCCGAGGCACGGCGCTCACAACTGTTGGCCAAGACTAATTCTTTTGCTTGACTCTTTTGCTCGCTTGTCTAATCAACTTTTACACTAAGTATTACGTTAGTGAGCAATGGGTACGCCTTATTGGTAACGTCAATGAATTACTTACTACTTACTATATATGTTATAAGTAGGATAGGTCTTAAGATTAACATGGAAAAAACAAAGATTATGTATAACGCCCATGCCACACCTGTGCTGGTAGTTGTTGGGAGCACTAAGCTCGAAGTTGTCGACGAGTATGTTCACCTGGAACTAGGTAAGTTCAACTTCGACCGAGAAGTCAATCGATGGTTTCGACTCGGCTGGGCAGCGTGCGGGAAATTACGACACATCTTCTCGTCAGGAATACCTCAAAACTTGTAAACGAGACTGTACAACCAGTGCGTGTTGCCAGTGATGACTTATGGATCTAAGACGTGGCCATTCACTGCTGATCGTATGAGGATGCTCAAGGTCACTCAGCAAGCTATGGAGAAGGCTGTGCTCGGGGTTTCTCTGCGTGATAAACTTAGAAATTAGGAAATCCGCAGTAGAACCAGAGTGATCGGCATAACCCAACGGATTAGTAAGCTGAAGTAGCAATGGGCCGGCCATATAGCTCGAAAAACCGACAACCGATGGGGAAAAAAGATTCTCGAGTGGCAGCCTCGTACCGGTAAGCGAAGTGTAGGGCGTCCCCCCACTAGATGGAGTGACGATCAGGTAACACATTCAGGAAGTCGATGAATGCAGGTGGCTCAGAATCGTGCTTTGTGGCATTTCTTGGGGGAGGCCTGTGTTCAGCAGTGGACTTGTGAAGGGCTGTAATGATGATGATGATAATTTTTATTGATTTCATTTTATATGGAGTGAGAAACCAGAGACCCTTTTTTATCTTATCTTTTAATTAATAAGTAAGCTTTAAAAATTGATAATTAAATGTCACTAGTCATATTCATTTTAGTTTAACATATTTTCCGCGACCAAGCTGATAACACTGTGAGAATTGAAGAACCATTCATCATTCTGTACTTTAATACTGATAACATATTAAAGTTAAAATTACCGGTATTCCTCCCAAGCCATTGTATTGATAAATAATTATGTTGCACTTATAAAAACTAATACATAGCCTGTTTGAAGACAGGTTATGTATTAGTTTCTGTAAGAGAAAGAAAGTAAGATATTATGTGTACTGTACTAAAGCAGACGCGGCGAAGCAAGTTGTTGCGCTGCATGACTGCGGTTGTCAGCCTGCTTGCTAAGCGAGACAACTATGGTAATGAAGGAGATTTATGTTTAGCAATGGACATTGATAGGCTGTAATGAAGAAGAAGACGATAGTTTCGATAAGGTAAAGGGCTATTTTACCAACGGAGATTATAGGTTATATAAGATAGATCGCGCACATATGACAAATTTACTTTTCTTTCTATTTCGTTTTTGTGTTATTAAAATCATTTTGATTATACTTACATACGTTCTCACACTTGTGAGGAGTTCTTCAATTTGGTCACAAGAAAAGGTATGGATGAATTAAATTTTAAATTCAATATAAATAGCAACTCAAATCAATACCCAAGCATCATTCACGTAAGTGAACCTTCAAGCGTCGTTCTAGAATAAATCCAACGCTTGAGGGATAAATCTATCTGAACAGTACAGTACTGAATGTTGTTGGAGTGACTCCTGGGATCATATTATGAATATGACTTACTATACTTAATTTGTACATCTTTCTGTTCTCTAATTAATAAATATATGACATACAACCTTGTGGTGATATTAACTGCGCAAACGAAAGAGGGAGAATACGTTTTGTACACTCTCAGCGTTGGTTCTCTACCACCCATAGATTACTAATATAGCTGCACAAACGAAATCCGTAGTTGAATCATAGCCAATCATAGCCGGTATATTATTAGTGTAGTGCAACGACTCTTATCAATTTATTCACTATATTAATATAAAAAATATTACTTGACAATCACTTGGCGAACTGCAATTTCGGGGAGTTACTAAAGGCATTCTAAGTAAAATAAAACATTTATAAAATATTTACGTCACCGTAGTTATTCGTATCGCATGTAGTTTTGACAAAATGCAAAAGTGGATATGTTCACAGATAACTGGATCTGTTGTCATAAAGTCATAAGATTAAATTTCCATGCAATTTTATCAGCCAGTATTTATATAATTTTAGGCTTAGAATATACTGGCGTATGGTACAAATTTTTAATCATCTGATAAATATTATTACTTTACAGAATATTAAATTCTACATTTCATTCATCTCGCAGGTTTGAATAGACCTACAGTCAAACCCATATCGCAGAAAAGAAAATAATAATTATTTATATGTAATTTCTTTATTTTCTACGACGAACCTGTCAAAAGAATAAATACAATTTGTGAACCCCACCCCACCCCACCCCACGCCACATAATGAGGCCCCAGGGCGCAAGTAGTTGTAGGATGGCTACTCGCGCGTTTTTAATGTCAACATATCGAGTCAGAACGTTTTATAAGTTATTAATTAGGATCTAAAGAGATTTGTTGGATATTGTAGCGCGCATATCCCCTCTTTCTATTATTACTCGGACTGGTAGGTCCATTCTTGTTCCGAGTCGATATATTGATAACGTCATATAAAGTACGCTCTAGAGGGCGCTGTAGGTGGAGACAGTAATTCGCGGGTTGTTTAACTCTCACAGATACACTCTGGTCTATGATTGTTATTCTGCTCAATTGCTCACTAAAAATAATACAGATTACAGAAATATCTGAACTTGCAAGCAATCATAATTTCTTAACATCAGTTATCATGACAGATTATCAACTTTCTCAATAGTAATTTTGCTAGATGTACAGCTAGATTTGAGGGTTCTAAGGATGCATATGTTGTAGCTCTCATAGAAGATATCGAGGTTGCAGGAGGTATGCTCTTCGGGGATTTTCATGTTATTAACCGGATTGGCTGCAACATGGTGTCAAGGAGTGAAACAATCAGTATTGACCTGGACGGAAGCAATGCAGTTGTAAAAACATACTTATGGTCCCCGTCTTCCACCGTATAAAATATATAGAGAACTGTTTAGTAAGGAGCAAGGCGATGAAAGCACGAATGTATTTGTTTGTAAATTACCACCAAGAACGTTAGCTGAGAATTCTGTACAGTTAGACATGGTTTATAGACTGCTGCATAGGAGAATACGTGAAAAGATAGTCAGAGCCTCCTTTATGACATTTTCAGAGTTACTTGAAAAAGCACGTGCTGTACCATTTTGA